AGGCTAAGCCTGGTCACCTACGCGCGCCTGGAAAATGCAAATTTGCCCAACTGTGGAAGCTGCCTGACAACCGCGGACAGGAGCCATCGGCCCCCGCCGAACCGGCAGCACCACCACTTGCGGTCGCAGCTGCATCCGAGGCCCCAGCCGCCAAACAAACTGCGCGGCTACGAGCTCCGAGGCCTGGTTCCAGAGCTAGACCAACAGGAGGTGCCAGCAGCCGCGACATCGCAGTAGGCAGACATGCCGCTGAACCGGCTGCGGGGCAACCTGCCTCGAGTGGAGCCGGCAGCTCGGACGATCGTTGACGGCAACCACCGGTATTGGCTAGACGAGGTCGGCCGCAAGGAGGGGGTCCACCACCACCGCCACCTGCGGGTGACCCTGCTGCTCGTCCAAGAGTTCCAGACTGGTCAGGGTTCGATGTGCAAAGTAGTCTACAGAACCTACGCAGCCCTGACCCAAGCGTGGTACCGCGCGAGTTGCGATAGCTGCACTTGCGGTGGTTCCACGCCAAAGAGCCTAAGATGAGACTCGTCTTAACCAAGGCTGGTCCGGACGACGTCAGACTGAAACTGAGAGAGGGCATGTCTGATACATGTCTGGAGTGCAGGGCTTGGGGCGAGCCAGGGCATGCCTTTGGGCCGTCTGCTGCACTGCCTGGCAAGTTCAATGATGAAGTTGAGTGCGATCTGTTTTATTTGACAAGCAGGAGCACACCATATGTCACATAATCGATCGCTGCATTCAATGTGGTGTTGGCTCGAGATACCAAATAAAACTATGACCAGCATCTTATATGCGTGCCATCAGTGCTGGATGCAATTCGGGCCCGCCAACATATTTTATTCGGACGAGGTCGGCGCATGCAACAGCGACGCTGCAAAGGCAGTCCTTCAGGCAGAAGGCGCTGAGTTGAGGATGCGTGCGCGTGGACAGCGCGCTACTGCAATTGATGCCAGAAGTGGCATGCTACGACACTTACTTCGCGCCATGGAGGCTGAACTCAACAGGTTAGACATTCCTCTTGTGTTCACGCGTCTACTGCATGAAACTTCATGTGCCGCCAACGCGTTCACTTTTTTACAATGAGGCGTCTACATGCAACGCATTGTTCAGACGGCAGCCAGCGATGCTACCCGACCTGCCTGTTCTGGACCACGAACATCAGACGGAAACTTCCGACCACTCTCGAGAATAGAATATCCGCCGGGTCAGCATCGAGGCTATCACTCAAGCCACCAATCGTGCACTACGGACCAAGACTACTATCACTGGTCAGCATTACTATGACGAAGGAGATCTAGTTGACTACTATCGTCCCACTTCTACAAAGGACGACTGGGGTGGCTGGAATGGACCTTTCCCGGTCTTACGAAACGATCCTGGCAGGGGTCAAGTCATCATGGGAGTGGGGAAGCGTGATGTACTAGTCCAATACGGCGACGCACGACATTCATTATATATCGAAGCTTTGATCGCTCGAGAAATTGGCTCGGACAACGCAGCACTACGGACTTTGTTGACATTCGTAGCCGGTCTACCTTCGGGGCGACCTGCTATGACATCTGGGTGCGTCCGGACCAACAGGGAGATGCTCCAGGTTACATGCGCGAGCCGACTATTTTTAAAGTACATTTAGTTCTTCAATACCTCATCAGGAACTTCTTCCGCATCGAGAATGTAGTCTCTGCCAGGTTAGCTAAGAGTATTCACGAGCTACCTCTGGTGGCTTATGATGACAGCTGTACATTGGTGTATTATGACAACGACGTGAGCCCTGGCTTCCACTATTACGAAGCCGAAGGCACTGCGTTAAATCTGTACGATATAACTAGATCAGCACATTCGAGGATCATCCAGTGCCTGAAGTCCACCAAACCTCGCGCGGGCTTCGACCAAGACATGACGAAGTTTGAAGAACTGGCTGACGTACCGACACAAGACAACGTCGCCGGAGAAGCTCCAGAAGCCGAGCCACCACAGGAAGACGGACGGCTCTGCTTATGAGGAATCAGAAGCGGACCTCGAGGCGCATAGTATGGATGTGGTACATGGAACTGCAGGAGGAAAGAGAACTACTGGAGGCAACTCCAATATACGACCTCTGCGCTGTGCCCGCGCAGATGATCGCCGACAACAGTGTGCTGGTCACGGTGGCAGAAGAACAGCGGGGGCACCTGCCTACGTGGGGTAATGCACATGATATAGACGCAACGGAGACATCATGTCCCACTGTGCTCCACGGACGAAAACGACAGTTATGGATTGGATTTTGAAGGTCATGGACAATCTGTAGAACTCTGCTTCATTGCAGATATATCAAAGGTAGTCCTATCAGAACAACAGCGCAATATACTAGACTTCGACCGTGTGACCACTATGCGAGTATATGTGACCGGTGCAGCTAAACGAGCTGCACGCGCCAAGGAGGACGACCTCCTCGCGGAGGCCGACATCCAGGCGAATCCAGTCGAGGTATCTAAAGCCCTGTATACTAAACTCAAGACATGGTTGGACAACGCGTGCTGCAAACTACAAGATATATTAAAGGCGTCAAACATCATGACTTAGAGATACGTATATAAGTGGAGGGTTGTCGAGAAAGAGAATGGCGAGATGGAGCGTGCCATTAGACTACGCTTGGTACTTCGGGGGTTTAAAGACCTCGAAGCCCTCGATGTGGAAGCTCTCTCAGGAACGGCGCGGCGGTCGAGCCAGAGACTACTCGCGAGCGCGGACATCAACATGGCTTTCCTGGAAGGACTCACTTATCAGGAATTTGCTGAAGCAACCGGTGAAAATGAACGTGCGGCGTGCTTTACACTGCCGCGTGGGTCAGCATCTGTGCTAGGGCCCCTCCCAGGATTTGAGCGTTGCGATGTATCGAAGCACTGTCTGCAGTGCCTCAAACCAGGCACCGGCACCAAGGGCGCGCCAGGGGCCTTCTCACTGAAGCTCAAGAAGACCACGAGGGGGCATGGTCTCAGACCCGCGTCCTATGACGAGGAGTTCGAGACGAGCTCTGACCTTCTTGCAGCCGAGCCCGTCGATGACATTGACATGGCCGGCGCGGAGGGCGCTATCGACAGGGGCGCCAGGCGCGTCGAGGATATTTTTGGCAAATGTAAACTCCACAAACATGCATCTACAAATTGTGCTCTGAGGTGCATGAAGGATGGGGGCGGCCACGCTGCACTTGATCAAGACTAATCAATGAAAACAGCTCCGTCCTACACAACATCCTGAACTCACTGGCGCAGACGCTGGCGCCACGGCGTCGAAGGTGGTCGCCGACATGTTTGTCAGCCTCAGAGGCGCCTTGGCTTACGCCCAAATCACACAGGTGTGGTTGATGGATATGTCGTCTCTCTACAGCGTGTCCAAACACCGACCAACGTGCAAGAGCGAGGACTGAGCGCGATTACCAGAATGTTGCAGGCTTGCCCTAAGAAGATCGTCTATTAATCGGCGATTCCAACGGGCGAGGTTGACCTGCGCAGCGACTCAGGTTACAGGCATCTAAGCGGAGACGCCGAGGACGAGGTCACAGGCCATGGGGTTCGCGGGGCAAACCTGCTACGGCGTGGGCGCACGCATGCTGGTAAGCCCGTCGTCCATCCTTGTCGACGCGCGCTACAAGTCTCACCGCTTGCAGGCCCGCTCGAGCTATTCAGCGGAAACACTGGCAGCAGCCCACAAGTTGGATGACTGCTATCCCACGATCGTCACTCTGCATAGCTCCACGCAGGGCCGCTGACGCCCACTTATTTGAAATATATACTTGAGATGGGTGGCCTGAGCATTAAGGTGACTTTGACCGTCGATGCAGAATATGCATTCAAATCCTTGTCAAACAAGACCTGGGTATACCGACTGAGTGTACACTTTTAGGACACATTAGTTGGATACGACAGATGATGGAGCGAGGTATCGTGCATTGTGTGCAGTGGTGTGACACTCGCGATATGACCGCGGACGGCCACACCAAAGGGAGCATCGACAGAGATATGAACATGGCTTACAACGGCGCACTCCTTACAGGGCAGGCCAGACAAAATCGTCTGAACCGCCTGAGGAGCAATCGTCTGCAAGGTGGCTTGCCTGCGAGGCAACTTTCCTGCTAGGGCACTTGCGCGCGGGTCAGCCTCGTTGGGCCCGCCTGCTGTTGCCCACCTTGTGTATCTAGTGTTTTACTGTATAGCGGGTGGCGGATTCCCGCTTCGTATCCCCCCCGAGTCTAAAGGAGGCTGGGGCAAAGGCGAAAGATAGCGAACGTTTGTCCGCGGCCGTTTGTGCTCAAGCGGCCGGCCGCCACCGTATGACTGTGCCTCATCGCGAGGTACACAATTTGCCATTCAATCCGAAAACACTTTCGCTTGACATGGCCCGTCGCTCCCGCGACGATATCCTACTTCTGGGACTATCGTTACTACGGTACAACAGAGTTGGATATGGACTTCGCCTTGGGCGAAGCTTCTGGTTGGGCCTCCCAACCTCCTTCAAATTCCCTGTTGGGCTGTCTTGGGGCATCCTTGGAGGCCTGATGGGCCTTGTTGGGACAACCTTAGGGGCCCCTTGGGCCGTCCTGGACGCTGCCACGACGAAAAAGGTGAGTATGCTAAGAGTATACGTTTGTTTCCCCACGGGAATGGGACAATCTTGCCTGTTGGGGCCCTCTCGGCGGTGTTTTGGGGGCATTCTTGGGCCGTCTTGGAGGCGCGTGGGCCGTCTCTTGAAACCATCTGGGACCCTCTTGGGGCGACCCTGCGTCGTCTCGACGCTCTCTTGTACTGTCTTGGCGCTCTGTCTGGGCCCTCTTGGGCCGTCTTGGTGCTTCCTGGAGGCTCTGGAGACCCAGGGGGTGCGTTGACGACCCCCCCCCTCCCTTCAAGCGGCATTTTGGACACCAGGGGAGGGAGAAAAGGGGAGGGGGACAGCCAAATGTCTCTCACTCCTTTTCAACCCCGGCACGCAGGGGTTCGGCGGACTTCCTCGAGTACTTTGGCGACTCGGTCATCAAGGCGGTCACCCTCCCCCTGCCCCACCTGAGCACGGCCTGCGTGGTCCTCCTGGACGTCTGGAACAGGTCGATCTTTGAACGCAGCGGCCGCATGCGAAGCAGAGCCTCCCACTTCTACCAGAGAGTCCTCGGCGTCGGAGGCAAGCTCTTCTTTCCGAGGGTGGTGGCCGTGCAGACCAGCGGCATGCTGCTGCAGGCAGTCGGCAAGCTGTCGCTGCTGGGCGCCATGGTCACCACGCTGCGGCTGCAGCCGCCTCTCAACAGGCCTCCGCGGCCGTCGGTCGACCTGAGCCCCGGCTTCTGGGCTCTGGTATTCTAGGCCTCCTAGATGGGTTCCGAGTAGATGGGGTCGGAGGATCGCGCCGTACCCTCAGTGCATGGGCGATGCGGCTCGATGTGGAGCCCGATTTTCTCCACGCTGGCGTCGCCGATGCATCGCCGATGCGTCGGCGATGCGGCGCGATCCTCCGACCCTACCTGCTCGAACCCCAACTGGGAGGCCTCTCCTCCTCGTCCTCCTCCTCCTCCTTCTCCACGTCCTCCTCCATCCCTCCTCCTCCTTCTCCTCCTCCTCCTCCTCCTCCTCCTCCTCCTCCTCCTCCTCCTCCTCCTCTTCCTCCAGGTATCGACCCTGGTCGCGCACGCGCTCTTCGTCGGAGTCTACGTGGGCGGCCTGACGCGCGGGGCCTCTGCCGCCAAACAGACTATCGTCGGGATGCTGGGGCCGCTGCTCCTCCAGGTTCAGGAGGGGAAACATTTTTTTTTTTCGTCAGCGGCGAGGCGGCGAACTCCGCTCCAGCGAGAAGCTAGATAGGGGCACGAACTATGTAGCGAATTGGCCAGCGAGCAAAGAGGGAAGGGGGGACGGTCGAGAAGAAGGAGGGACGCTCAGACGCCGAAGAGTTCGACGATGAGCAGCTGGGCGGGCAGCAGCAGCCAGGCGCGCGGCCGTGGCGAACCACGGTGGCAAGGGTGGCGGGGAGTGGCAGCCAGCGCCAGTAAGGGGAACAAGAGGAAAACACAGACACAACTCATCGCCGATTCCCAGGAAGATGTGCGAAACTATGCGCAGCGTGTGGGGGGGAGGAAGACCAAAGCCCAGAATAAGTAGGTGAGAATAGGGGGAATCCTGGGATCTGTGTCTTTCTGTTCGTGTGTCTCGGGGCCAGGTCAGCTACATCCTGAGCTACGGCGCCTGCGCCTTCCTCGTCGTCCAGCAGGGCGAGATCCTGCCGGCCTCCGTCACGCAGGACGACAAGCGGGCCGTGGACACGGACTTCTTCGCCACGGACGTCGTCGTCGGAGCGCTCTCGAGGCCAGGTGGGTCGACCCGAGCGGTGTTTTGGCGATTTCTCAGGAGGGAAAAAACACACACAGACACAATGAATCGTCGATTCCCCGGAAAATATAGGAAAATATGGGAATTGGGGAGACGACGAACACCCAGAAAGTATGGGAACATGGGGAATCCTGTTATTTGTGTCCATTTATTTGCGTGTCCCAGGGCCCCTTCAATCTCGTGGGCCGCTTTCGTTTCGCTTCCGTTCTGCAGCAGAGGCGGATCGAAGACACAAGACGAAGGAGCACGGAAACAACACGAAAACGAAGATTCATGTTTGCGTCGATCCCTGCCCGAGGCCGGACAAGTCCTTCGCGTTCCCGGACCTTACCAGGCCGGTCGCGTTCTTTGCCCTGGCGCTGCCCGCGGTGGGCCTCATGCTGACGACTCGGGCGGTGGAGGAGCGTCCCGTCGGGCGTGTGCCTCTACGGGGGGGACTATTCAGACATGGGCAAAAATGGTCGGGACGATTTTTCGACTATGTCTTCCCAATTTTTGAACACTTTTTGACCAGGCTTCACATTTCTCCCCGAGTCCGCCTGTGGGGGGACACGCCCGACCTGCAAGGAGCGCCTGGCATTCCTCGGCCACGCTGCTCGGGCAGCCCACTCCGCCCAGCCGCCGGCGGGCCGTACTTCCCGACCACGCCTCAGCGACCACGTCCCCGGGCCGATGCTCTTCGGCTCCTCCGGCCAGGGCTTATGTCGATTCCTCCGATTCGGTTCGATTCGATTCAATTTCGGTGGCTTCCGATTCCGACTCGATTCGACTACAAATTCCGATTCGGGCCCCGATTTCTTCATGGAGGCCTGCTGGGCTACCGATTTCCGTCGGTTCGACTTTCCCCCGTTTCGGCTGCCGATTTCCGCCGAACCGACTCGTTTCGATCGCCGATCCGACTTATCGATTCGACCCGGGGCTCTCCTGCCCCCAGCCCGTCAGGTTCTCCAGTGGGCCGCGCTCATGCGACGAGGCCCCGGCACCGATGCGCGGCTGCTGCAGGCTCGGCTGTTCGCCGGGGGGTTTACCCTTCGCGGGGGGGTGGCCTTCGGTGCGCGGCGCTCGAACGCCAGAAACTGCGTGGACTTTCGGAGTTCCGCGCGGACTTCTTGCATCGGCGCCAGACACTCGGGCCGGACGAAAGGGGGGGATTGGGAAAGGGGGGGTTACGAAATCTGCTGCACGCGGCTGGTTTCGGCCCCACCGAGGGGCCCACTCCTCGATACATGGCCGCCTCTGGCGCCGGGAGGCGCCGGGAAAATCAGCTACGTGAGCTGATTCTCAACCCCCCCCCTTTGCTATCCCCCCCTTTTGGCCCGGCCCGAGGCACGCCCTTCCCTGGCGCGCGGGGCGCGCCAGGAGCGGCGTCAGAGGCGCCGCCAGGCTGGTCGGCCCAGCACGAAGAAGTCCGCGCTGGCATCCGAAAGTCCACAGGGGGGGCCCGACCACGAGAAAGCTTCCACAAGGAACCCAGCCCTGAGACCCCACGACGTCCATCGATGCTTGGTGTGGGAGCGTCGCGCTTTCCATGGCAAAACCCTCGAAACCCAATGAACCCATGGCACCCTGGAGGAAAGCAGGGTGTTTCTTGGCATGGGTCTCCACTGTACATGATGATGCTGCTGCTGCTGATGATGATGACGCTGATGCTGCTGATGATGATGATGATGCGAATGATGATGATGCTGATGATGAGGATGAGGAGGATGATGAGGAGGATGAGGATGAGGATGAGGATGAGGATGATGATGCTGCTGATGATGATGATGGTGATGATGAGGATGCTGATTATGATGCTGCTGATGCTGCTGATGATGATGCTGCTGCTGATGATGATGATGATGGTGATGGTGATGGTGATGGTGATGGTGATGATGATGATGATGATGATGAAGAAGAAGAAGAATATGATGATGATGATGCTGATGCTGCTGATGCTGCTGCTGCTGATGGTGATGGTGATGGTGATGATGATGATGATGATGATGATGATGATGATGATGATGATGATGATGATGATGATGATGATGATGATGATGATGATGATGATGATGATGATGATGATGATGCTGATGATGATGATGATGATGATGATGATGATGATGATGATGATGATGATATGGTGGTGGTGCTGGTGGTGATGGTGATGATGATGATGATGATGCTGATGATGATGATGATGATGATGATGATGATGATGATGATGATGATGATGATGATGATGATGATGATGATGATGATGATGATGATGATGATGATGATGATGATGCTGATGATGATGATGATGATGCTGCTGATGATGATGATGGTGGTGGTGGTGGTGTGATGATGATGATGATGATGATGATGATGGTGATGATGATGTGATGATGAGGAGGAGAGGAGGAGGAGGAGGGGAGGAGGAGGAGGAGGAGGAGGAGGAAGAGGATGAGGGAGGAGGAGGAGGAGGGAGGAGGAGGGAGGAGGAGGAGGAGGAGGAGGAGAGGAGGAGGAGGAGGGAGGGGGAGGATCAGGAGGGGGAGTGGGAGGAGGAGGAGGCGGAGGAGGAGGAGGAGGAGGAGGGAGGGAGGAGGAGGAGGCGGAGGCGGAGGCGGAGGCGGAGGCGGAGGCGGAGGAGGAGAGGAGGAGGAGGTGGAGGAGGAGGAAGAGGAGATTCCACTGGGTGTTCATGTAGCGCTTTCTGATGCCAGTCTCTCGGGGGTCCCCCAGGGGGGGGATGTCGGGGGCACGCCCGGGCACGCAGGCTGCGACTGCCGCAGCGCACGGAAGGATCGGCAGGCCGCACGCCGAAGTCCACCCCTGCTCTACCCTGGCGTACAGATTCCTCCTCCTTCTCCTCCTCCTCCTCCTCCCCCCTCCTCCTCCCCCTTCCCCTCCTCCTCTTTTTCCCTCTCCACCTCCTCTCCCTCCCCCCCCCTTTCTCCTCCCACTCGTCCTCCTCCTCCTCCTCCTCCTCCTCCTCCTCCTCCTCCTCCACTCCTCCTCCTCCTGTCAGGTGCTCTCGTGAGCCTCGTTTCCCTGGGCCTGCTGTTCGCCATCCTGATGGTCGGCAACTCGGACCGTTTCCCGCTCGAGCCCGTGCCGGGTTGCTTCCCCTGCTGGTGCCCCTCAGAGGGCGAGCTTCGATCCTGCGGCGTGGCCGTGGACATGAGGTACAAAGTGCTGAGTTTGGAGAGGGCTGGTATTACTCGCATTCGCCCGGGGGCTTTCTCGCCGTCCAACTTCGTTTCCAGCCCAAACCTTATTCTTGAGGCTAGCTTCAGAGGAAACGCTCTGGACGAGTTGGAAGAGGGCACTTTCCAGCACATGTCTTATGTCACCCGGCTCGACTTGCGAGACAACTCGCTCCGTGCTATTGCACCCGGCGCCTTCGAAGGCCTCGCGCGCGCAGAGGACCTCCTCCTGGACCTGAGCTGGGTCCTCACCGAGGAGAAGAGCCGGTGTGGCGGCGCCGGGACCTGCAGGCTGCCCGCGCTGACGGTGGGCTCCTTCCTGGGCCTGCCGCGCCTGCGCATCCTGGGGCTCGGCCTCAGCGGAGCCGCGGGCAGCGGCGTGCCGTCGGTGGAGCCAGGCAGGGAGGAGGGCGAAGGCTGCACGAAGCCCGGGCCTTCGGCTTGGCAGCGCTCGGCCGCGTGCAGGTTTCCTCTCGACTGGACGTAAGAGTGACCCTTCGCCGGAGTGACCTTTGGTGCGGGCCCATTGGGGTCCCCGATCGCCGAACGCGAGGCGGCAGTGGCGTCTTGCGCGCTTGTGTTTGGCCCCCCCGCGGCCCACAAAAAGCCGCGCACCAAGGGTCACTCTTACCCAGGGTCACTCTTACGTGTAGCCGATCCTCGGCGAGAACCATCGAGGACCCTCCTGGACCATCGAGCAAAAAAAAAACGCACGAAGCCGAAACGTGCATGGGACATGGGCGGCCGAGCGACGGCAAGTCGGGCTTCCGCGCGGATTGCTTGAATGACGCGCGCCCCGGGGGCAGCCTCCGGGAAGACCAAGAGGCACCGATGCCGCTGCTCCCCGGACCTCTCCCGGGTGCGTTCTGAGAAGAATTTTTGTGCGAATCCAACGGTGGCGACGAGGGCCTCGCAGGAGGCCCAACGAGGGGGAACAAGGGAAAGGTACAGGTGTGGGTATATTTGTTATTTTTTCCTCCTCGGAGCCTCTGGGGTCAGCGCCGATTCGAGGAGCTCGTGCGGACCTCCGGAAGTTTGCTGTGCCGGCGCAGTTGTGCTTCCTCGGCAGGTGCCTTCTCGGGCCTGGGCAGCCTCGAGGTCCTCAGGCTCCCGGGGCCACGGCAGCGGGGGGACGGGCCCACGGGGGGGACGCATCGACCCCCCATCGCCCACGCATCGCCGCTTGGGGCCCGATGTCCTCGTGATCCAGGAGGGGGTCCAGCTGAGAGGGGGTGGTGCAAAGGTGCAGTGGGGGCCCATGCCAAGAAACACCCTGCTTGCCTCCAAGGTGCCCTGGGTTTCTTGGGTTTCGATGGTTTTGCGATGGAAAAAGTGTGACGCATCCACACCAGAAATCAATCGACGTCCTGGGGTCTGATGGTTGGGTTGCTTGTGGAAAGTTTCTTGTGGTCGGGCCCCTACTGTAGAGAAATGAACCATGACACAAACATAAAAAAAACTCGGAGGTCCGCGCGGATTTCTCGGATCGGCGCTGGACCCCCCTTCCTGGCGCGCGGAGCGCGCCAGGGGCGGCGCCGGAGGCGCCGCCAAGGGGCCCAGCGCGGATCCGAGAAATCCGTGTGGGCCTCCGAGTTTTTTGTTTAGGTCATTGTTCGTTCCCTCAAACAGATTTGGGACAATTTTATAGCACATGTATTGTGCCAAATAATTGTTTATTATTGTATATTGCAACTGATGATTGAGCGGCACGCGGAAATTCAGCAATACATCTGCACATTGGAATGTCTGGCACACCCCAGATTTATTGCAACCCCATAAATCTAGCGCACCAGACCTATTGCACCACGCCCTTTTCGCTGGACCGCCTTTTGGGTCAACCAGACGATAGCCCATCCCGCCCCAGAACGTGCGGATTCGCTATCGGGGGCCCATCGCCGATCTGTCAGCGATGCACAGTCGAGCCGGGGTATCAGATCGAGGTCGGTTCAGGGAGGGTACCCTAATGTTCTTCGTGCTTGCTGGACTTTCTTGCGCATCCCGGGGCGTGGCCCCCTTGGACGTTCTGTTTGTTCTTGCCGACGACGGAGGGCCTCATGTTCCTGTGGGATGTTCTTCTGGCCTCGGTCCGACTGTACGCCGATTCCAGCTTGATGTCCCCCCCCCTGAGCTGCCCCCCCTCACCCCCCCCTACTGTTGTCCCTCGAGGCTGGACTCGTGCGCCTGCTTCGACAGCCTGGGGCGCCTGCCCCCCGGCTTCTTCGACGGCCTCGGGCAGCTCCGCGTGCTGGTGTTCTCGGGGACGAGCCTCTCGCGCGTGAGCCCAGGAGATCGGCACGATTGATGCGGGCGCGGATCGAACAGCCAGAGAAACGCAGGGCCCGAGGTCGCCAGAGTTCGAGTTTCCGCCGACGCTTTTTGACGGCCCGTTTTGGATTCTGGCAGTTCCGCTGTCGTGGGATGTTTTGCAGCGGGATTTGCGCTGAAGTCCATATTGGGGCTTGTCATGTTCTTGGTGATCGAAATGGGCACGGACAGGATTTCGCCAAGCAGTGCTTACACTTCGGGGTTCTTACTGTGACTCTTGTCAAGTCGTCCCGGCTTTCCCGGTACTGGCGCCGCTGTAAAAGCAGACGTGTTTATAAAGTGTAGACTTGCCGTCAACAAAATTTCGGGACATTCTCAGAACGTTGTACTGCCAGCATTCTTTCTGCCCACTCTGCGGGTCCTCTGTGTCAAATGCTCGTTGCGGCCGAGGGACGGTCGCACAGCGATTTCTTCAGATGTTTAGGATGGTCGAGCCAAATTTGTTGGAGACGCCCTCCCAGATCTCGGCTCGGAGATGCCTTAACTGGTCCAGCCAGTGTCGCCTGAGATATGAGGCCTGTGGCATATCGTTGTACAGAATAGAACAAGTTGTTCTCGCCTCAGCGATGGCCACATTCCTTTTTGTGGAACGGTGCTCTCGTTTCAGCCCAGGCCACGTCCGTAATTGAGAATGGTGCTCCAGCCTCAGTGTTGGCCCCGTCCCTGGTGGAGAACGGTGCTGTCGTCTCCGCGCGGACCACGTCCCCCATTTGGAATGGCGCTGCAGTTTCGGCGCATCACGTGCTATAGCGAGCAGTTTGGCAGGACCTGGACGGAGGAGGACGAGGGAGGGGGGGCAGTTTGAGAAGGATGGGGAGCCCTGCGACGTTCGCGCCGTTGCCGACGCAGGCGGTGGCGGCGCCTGCTCGCCCTCCATCGCCTGCGCCTGCGGAGGGCCTGGAAACGGCGCCCGCGGCCGTCGCGGAAACTGCGCGGGAGTGAAAGGTGTCTTGAGAGAAGAAGCTGGCAGGCAGCCTTCTCTCCACGGCTGCCGGCCAGTGAGCGTCGCGGCGGTCTGCTCGAGCCAGTCGCGTGTCCGACAAGCGCTCTCCTGCTCCTTCCCCATACGTGGGTCGCAAGTGTTTGCGCAGTTCTTTCGCAGCGTTTCCCGCGCTCGCGCGCAGGACCTAGGCAGCGCCCACACAGCGCCAAGGCAGCATTTCCCAGGCCCGTGGGTCACAAACCAACGACTTGAGGGGGGACAGGGGAAGCAGAGAGTCGGGCAGAAGGGTCCTGGATAGCTCCTTGCAGCGGTTGTCAGTCGAAAGCTGGGCGAGGGCTGCTAAAACCGTGGCTGCTAAAACGGCCCTCCCGGAAGGAAAAAACAACTTCCCGGAATTAGGCGCGGCACGCGAAACAGTCAACGGGCTTCTTCCCGGAAGGACGAAGACAACTTCCCGGAGGTCGATTTTAGCAGCCACGAAATTAGCAGCCCTTGCCCGGCTTCCGAGTCAGGGCTTCCGAGAGAACGCGGTCGATTGTATCAGGCCAGCTTCCTCCCCGCAGCCGCCGGTCACGGAGCGCCACGACGACTTGCTGGAAAATGCAGCGTGTCTCGCAAGCGCTTTCATGCTTAGTCCCAAGATCGGGGGAGCGTAAGACCCGGGTTTGCCATCGTTTTTTGACGACCGCGCCTCGGATTTTGACGAGGAGGAGTTTCGTGGGATGTCTGCAGCGGGAGGCCTCGTCAAAATGCAGGTTCGGCCTCGTCATTTTTTTGACGACCTCGTCGGGGATTTCCGAGTCCCCTGTACCCAGGTCTTACGTCCCCCTGACAAGACGTGCCTCCTAGGCAGCGCTTCCCATGCCCGTGGGTCACAAGCAAAGAACGTTAGGGGGGGAATGGTAAAGAGAGCTTGGCAAGCAAATCCCTTGAGAGAGAGGGGGTTTGATACGAAGCCGGTAGGCTGAGGTAGGCCGGCTTCTTCATTACGGCCGTGAGCCGGTGAGCGTCTCGGCGGTTTGCTCGAGGCAGCGTGTCCCGCAACCGCTTTCCTACTCATTTCCCATCCGTGGGTCGCAAACGTTTGCGTAGTTCCTTCGTCGCGCTTCCTTGGCTCCTGCGCGTGTTTTAGGCGGCTCCGAGGCAGCGCATCCCATCACCATGGGTTGCAAACAGGCAGTGCAAGGGAGCGAACGGAAAAGCGAGAGAGAGAGAGAGAGAGAGTCGGACACAGTATTCCGAGACAGCTCCCCCAGATTGCTGCATAAAGGGGCTTCGAAGAGCAACCGGCAGGCTGAGGTAGGCCAGCCTCCCCTCCCACGGCTGCCGACCAATGGGCGTCGCGGCGGCTTGCCCGAGCCAGCAATGTGTCCCGCAACCGTTGTCCTACTCATTCCCAATACGTGGGTCACAAGCGTTTGCGCAATTCTTTCTCAGCGTTTCCTGCACTCGCGCGCATGTCCTAGGCAGCGCCTGGGCCGCGTTTCTCAGGCGCGCCCAGTCAGCTCCTAGGCAGAATTTCCTAGGTTTGCGGGCAGCGCCTGCGGAGCTTCAACGCAGCGTTTCCAGGGCTTCTGCGCAGCGCCTGGGCAGCTCCTGCGCAGCAGTTCCTAGGCTTGTGGGGGCGCGCAGGCAGATCCTATCACTTCCTGGTCGCGCTGAGGGAATCCAGGCGTGTGTCCGAGGGTAGTGCTCAAATGCAGGCAATTCCCCCGATGCCGTTCACGCACAGGCTGCGGGCGCTGCTATCGGGGTTTCGGATTACACAAGTTCCGGCCTCCCGAGCACGAGGGGATGGAGACGGGGGAGGGGTCGGCGAAGAGGAAGGGGGGCATTGGGCGAAGAGGGTTCCGGGCAGAAAACGACGTTATGTAGACCCTAAGTGGGCCTCTTCGTCGGGTAGCCCGACCCCAAAGGGGACAAAGGCGGATACCCAGAACAACGTATGAACAATGATGCTGCCCAATTTCTAGCCAGCCCAGAAACGATCCAGCACAGCGAACAGGCAATCCGATTTCTAAAAGACCGTCAAACATGTAGCGAGGGCGGAGCGCGAAGAGGACGGACTCAAAGGAGGAGGAAGGACGGAACATGAAAACGGAGGCCGCAATGGGCTCCACCCCCGGGCCCAGGAGGGGCGCCCCCATGGCGTATCCCCAGCCATTGCGGCGCGCCGTTCCCACGGCTCGCGCCAGTGAGGGGGCTCCGCCTACGGCCCTCACGGGGGCGCTCCAATAGCGTCTCCGCGCCCGCGTCGGCATGCCCCTCGTGAAGATCGTGGCCGTAGTTGCGCTGAAGGCCCCAGTGGGAGTTCCCGTGGCGCCACCGCGCTCGTTTCGGCACGCCTTTTCAAGCGAATGGCGCCCCACAGGGAGCGCCACCCCACGAGCCCAGCAGGGACAGTCATTGTTGCGAATGACGTATTCGAGCAAATGTCTGCGTACGCTTGATCAGAGTGCGCTCCGTGTGGCAGCTCCGCGCAGGGCACCGTCGCGGAGGCCCCCCCCCCCGGCACTGTCGGTGCACTTCTCGGTCAAGTCCGGTGCCCCACGCGGAGCGCCTGCAGTCCCGGCGGGGGCGTCGGCATGCGGTCGCCCGCTGTCCACTGCCACAGGAGGTTCGGGCCGGGCGAAAGGGGGGGATTGGGAAAGGGGGGGTTACGAAATTTGCTGCATGGAGCTGGTTTCGGCCTCACCGAGGGGCCCATTCCTCGATACATGGCCGCCTCCGGCGCCGGGAGGCGCCAGAAAATCAGCTACGGGAGCTGATTCTCAAACCCCCCCTTTGCTATCCCCCCCTTTCGCCCGACCCGAAACATCAGAGCGATTGGGGCATAGAACTTTTGGGACGGCGCAACTTTGGGAACGCATCCGGCCAAACGGCCCGCCGAAATTCGATGCCCAAGTAGTCCATGGGAAGTCGCCCTGTGGCCCTCCCGGAATTCCTGTGGCGTCGGTGGCCTGGGGTTTCGCTTCCAGCCGCCGGTAGAGTCGGCCAAAGGTTGGCCGTGGCAGGCGATGGCCCCCCACTGGTGTGGGAGCGGAAATCACACCAAAAGTCTTTGACGCTCCGTTTTTGTTTGTTTCTGGGCTGTTTGGCGGGGCTGGGAGTGCTTTGGGGGTGCGGGGGCCAGGAAGGGCTTTGGGGGAGGAGGATGAGCTTTGGGGGAAGGAAGACGTAAACGGGGACGCAGGCGAGGTCGCGGCGGCGTCAATGGGTAGGGCGATGGCGGGGTGAGGAGGAAGGAAAGGTGAGCGCGTGGACACGGGGTCCGTCGCCGTTTTGGCTCAATCCCCCGCGGCGGCATCGTGTCCAATCGGGCCATAGCCGGTACTCTTCCCCTCCTCAATGTGGTGGATGGGTGTGTGTGCTGGCCAGTACGCCTGCGTGCGTTCCCAGGCCGCCGTGCGACCCCGGCCAGCATTTTTCGCTCGCCAGGTCGCGAGCGCACATCTCATGGCGTCGGCACGAGGCGGCGCTCGCCTAGAGACGGCGTCAACACCATGGGCGGCGGTCTTCCGCCATGGGTGCCTGGGCCGCTGCGGCCTTGCCCGCGCCTGCCCAAACGCGCGCCGGACGAGGCGCGTGACATTCGCGCCCTCTGTCCGCAGCTACGCCAACGTCGTTTTGGCCCACGCGCTCCAACAAGACTGCCCGAACAGGTCGGCGCTGGCAAGGCCGCGTGCGCCCGCGGGTGCCTGCGTCGGGACGCCCCCCCGCGCGCGCGCGAGCTCGGCAAGACGTCGCGCCCGTCTTCCAGGGGCGACGTCGAGGGCGGCCCCGGCGACATTCGCCGTTGTTTCTGTTATGCCTCATGTCGCGCGTGTCGACGACCGACGATCGACGACGACCGACGACGACCGACGACGAGGCGCCGCGACGAAGTATTAGCTGAAGGACCTCCCGTTGACACGCAAGCGAAACCGTGTCGTCCGCACGGGGTTCGGCGGGGAGGAAGGTCAACGAGGACAAGCGGAAGGCGAGGATGAGGACTGGTATCATGGGGGCACGGGGCAAACACTGAGTAAAATGATGATCGTGGATTGCGTTGGGCTGAGGTTCAAGTTGGGTCATGATCTCATGAAGGAGGACGTGGGGAGGTTGGAAGTGTGGATGGGTGCATCAGGGTGGCTGGCAAGATGGGCAGAACACGAGGGGGTAGGAGGGAGATGGGCATGCGAAGGTGGGAACGGGCGAGGAGAATGAGGGTGAAGAATATCACCCTCCCCGCGCGTCCTTAACTCTAGCCTGAGTCCTCCAGTCGGACACTTTCTAGAGCTTTCATTCATTCGTGGGTCGATCATGCTTGTGTTCGAAATCCACAGGTTGGACGAGGACCGATGGCTGTTCCTGTCCATGTTGAACAGGGTTCGCTGTCGGTGTCGCCGCGGCTGTTGTCCGTTTGAGACCGAGAGTCGCCTCCCCAGCAGCGGTCGCCGTCGGTTATGAAAAACATTCGCTGATGGACATCGCATGTTTTGTTCCGTACCTGATTCGGGTGTCCACAGAGGAGATTTTGCTGGTACCCCAAGCCTGCGCGTCCTCGACCTCCACGGCACAAGGCTAGCGGAAGGAGTCGAGGATGAAACAATTGCACAAACATAGGTGTTTGGAGGTCCGCGTGGATTGGATGGGTCGGCGTTTGACCCCCCGTGGCGGCACCTCCGGCGCCGCCCCTGGGGCGCTCCGCTTTCCAGGGAAGGTGTGCATCGCCGACCCACGAAATCCGTTCGGACATCCAGCAGGTTGTGCTTATGCAGATGCTTGTGCCTCCAAGGCGGTCTCGAGGTGCAGCCGGGAGCGTTCCAGGAGCTGGCGCAGCTGCGGCTCCTGGACCTGTCTGATGTGCAGTTGGAAGACCTGCAGCCTGGAGCCCTGGCGGGCCTGGTGGAGCTGCGCCACCTCACCCTGGGCAACAACGCGCTCCAACGGCTGCGCGCTGGGGCAATGTCGGGCCTCGGGAATCTCGAGGAGCTCGACCTCTCCGGCAACCCCCTCACGGAGGTGGAGCCGGCCGCCCTCGACGATCTGAGCACCCCCCCCCTGCAGTCCTTGAGCATCCTGCGCACGCCCTTGCAGAGCCAGGCGCTGGCCTGCACCGCGGACGAAGACGACTGCAGAGACAGCTTCCTGGCAGTATGGAGGCTGACACGCACGTTCCTGAGCGACGTCTTTGTAGGCGGGCTGGGGTGCTCCGATGCCCGCTCGCTGTGCGGCGTGGACAAGGGGGGCACCGTGATAGACCCGGTCTGCCCGGTGACCTGCGGCACCTGCGGCTCCCTTTCGGATGACGGTTCTGCGGCCGACTGCGTCGACAAGGCCGCCATGAAGCAAACGGGTCCTGAGGGAAACGGGTCTTGAGGTGTTTCGCTGCTGTTAGCCTCCCTGGGCCCAGGACTGTCGGAAGGCGGCTCACAGGGCGAAAAGCTGGTCCCAGGGGAAGGCCCTTGGCTACGGGGCTCGTTTCCTTGAGAGCCCGACTGCCGCATGCCGACAAGGACTGGGCGATGACTTATACGTCGACCCTCGCTTCGGGAGTCCAGCTTGAGTCTGGCTGGCCTGGCGCGGACAACACCGAGTGGCCCCTGTCCAGATGGACCACCTGTGCACACATGGTGGCCGCAGGGGCCTGCGAGCATTTCTATTGGAACGACGTCGCCACGCTGGTCTGCCCGGTCGCCTGCGGCCTGTGTGACGCGCTTCGGGCTCGCTCCTGCGAGGACATCGACCTCTTCGAGAACAGCCTCTTGTCCTGCGAGGTTCTCGTCTCGACCACGTCGCTGTGCGGCGACTCGGGGGCCTTCGGGGACCTCATCCGGCTCATCTGCCCGAACAGCTGCGGCGAGTGCTCGGCCAGCGCGGAGGGCTGCGCGGGCGGAGCTGCCAGCCTGACACTGGGCGAGGCGCCGGGGGTCGGCCAGAGCGCTGCTCAGGCAGTCTTGCGGCAGTGTCGTGGATCACGTTCGCTTTCCCTGCGTTTTCGTCCTGGGGGCCGCCACCGGCCAATCGCGATTTGTTCGGATTCGTGCCAGAGCGTTGCTTGGGGCAATCGGCCCGTCTGCTTTCGCTTTCAAGAAACGCCTCGAGATGACAACGGCACGAGAACGCAGCAAAACGTAACAGTGCTCTGGTCGACCCCTGCGAGGTGCTGGAGCTGATGAACGCTGGTGTGGATGCACCTGCCAACACGACGCCGACACCGGCGCCGGAACCAACTATAGGTAATTAACTGCAAATTGTATAGTCGGTTCTCCCAGCCATGGCCACGACGGCCCCCCCGGGGAGCCGCCAGGGCTGATAGCCCAGAGCCGGGCACGGGGAGCTGGGAGCCGGGAAGCGGCAGCTGTGAGCCGGGAGCCGTGGACGGAACCAGGAGCGCAGGGCCCAATGCAGGTGTTCGGGAATTTGGGCACCGGGAGAGAGGGAGAACGAGGGAGAGTGAGAGATAGAGGGCAAGCGGGAAAGAGAGGCAGAGAGAGAGAAGGAGACGGAGAGAGAGAAAGAGAGAAAGAGAGAGAGAGAGAGACCCGAATCTGTAGTCAGAGAGCTCAGTGCGCACACCGTATGTGTCGGGGAAGCGTAGGACTCGAGTACGCCGGAGATCGGGTTTGCCGAAACTTTGTGAGCCATGAGAGCGCGAACCCAGCGTAATGTAGACGAGGGATCGTGGCCCTGGAAGCTTGAGTCCTGAATCATTTGCTAGGGATCGCGACACCGTGGCCTTGCGCGCGCGAATCCAGTGTAATTCACGAGGGATCGCGGCCTTGGGCGCGCGGACGCAGCGTAATTTTCGAGGATTCGCGCGGTGCTTCGTGACCCTGGGAGCGTGGACGCAGCGTGCTTTGCGACGGATCGCGGAAGCTGCGCGATGCACGATGTTACCGTGGCCCTGGGGGCACGGACGCAGCGAAATTCACAAGGGGTTGCGGCCGTGGAGGCGTGAATCCTTTCTGTGATTTGCGATGGGCCGTGGCCAACTTTCCTGTTGCGTCCTCACGATCCTGAATCGTGCCAGAGCGCCACTCCTGGGATTACAACATCTCGAATCAATGTAATTGTTGCGCCCTGGCAATCCTGATCCGTTCCAGAGCAGTTTCTGGGACGTTGACCCTGGACATCCGTGAAACTTCTGCACATGTTTAAGACGAATGCGACCGGCGCTAAGGCGAAAGCCACAAAGGGACCTCCCTGAATCCGAGAAGCTATCGTAATATTGTAAGTCGAATGTTCGCGGCGCTAGGGCGAGAGCCACTTTTTGAAAATGGCCTGCCCTCAATCCGTGAAGCTCTTACAAAAGTTTAAGACGAATGTGCGCGGCTCCAGGGCGACATCACATCTTGAAAACGATCTGCCTTCAATCCGTGAAGCTGTGGCGGATGTGTAAGACGAATATGCGCGGCGCTAAGGCGAGAGCCACATTTTGAAAACCGACCGTCCTCCATCTGTCAAACTGATGCCCATTTTCAAACTTCGGGATCATAAGTGGTAAGGAAGTCAGGCGAAACGTCCGGCCCGCCCTTCCGACTGGCCTCGGGGTGCGACAGGAAGGAAGGAAAAGGAATAGAGGAGGAGGAGGAGGAGGAAGCGCGAACCCGTCGTAATTTACGTCGGATCGTGGCCCTCGGAGCGTGGAAGCAGCATACCTCACCAGGGACTGCGGCATTGAGAGCGCGAGTTTAGTGTGATTGGCCTGGGGTCGTGGCCCTCGCAGCGCGGACGCGGCATAACTTACGAGGGATCGCTTTTCTCGGGGAAGCGGACGCAGTGTAATTCTAGACCTTGGACGCCGCCCGACTGCTCTGGGCGCGGTCGCGATCAATACATATATATATATATATATATATATATATATATATATATATGTACACACATGTACCCACCAGCCGGTGCTGAACTGTGATGCCTCCGGCGCCATTTTGGCTGCGTTGAGCCCAGTTCCGTTCTGAGCCGGGCGCCGCTGGCTTCGCTGTTGTTTTCTTTTGCTTCGGCGCGGCCCGCCTTAGCTTGCTTGGCCGTCGACTCGTCTTCGCGCGCCCGCGTACCAAAAAGCGTATCCCCACCAGCCCATCCAGAAACGATGTCCAGGCGGGTTGAGGTGATCAGGGAAGTGCGGGAGCAAGGAGGGGGACGGCCGAACCGTGCGAAGGAGGGATGAGGAGAAGGAGGAGGCTGGATAGATGGATGAGGGAGTGGGGAGAAGGAGCATGAATAGGATGATGATGCTGAGGAGGAGGAGGAGGAGGAGGAAGAGGAGGAGGATGATGATGATGAGGAGGAATAGGAGGAGGAGAAGGAGTAGGAGGAGGAAGGAGGAGCAGGAGGAGGAGGGTAAGCAAAAGGGCCAGAGGTCTCTTGAATGCTTTTCGGAGCCTCTTGGGATATCTCTTGGCCCCTTCTTGGTGGCCTCTTGGGACGTCTTGGGGGTCTCTTGGCTGTCCTGGGGGGGCTCTTGGGCGTCTTGGGTGCCTGGGGGGGGCCTCTTGGGGCCGCTTGGGATCCTCTTGGGGGCCTCCTGGGGGCCTCATGGAGGCCTCTTGGGGCCATCTTGGGGCAATATTGGGTCCCCTTGGGGCCTCCTGGGCGCTTCTTGGGGTCATCTTGGAGGACATCGATCAAAGAAGAGGGGAGCTTCTTTTAGCGCTACCGCCCCAAGGGCCCCAAATGGGGCCCAAACCGTATGTAGTAAAACCACTGAGTTTGACTTCCTCTCCGAGGCCGTTTTGGACGCTCCAATGGGTCGCGGCACCGCCCGCCCAGGTCCAGGGGAGTTGGTCGGGGGAGGGGTCAAGACGCCCTCCTCGCCCGCAAGCCGTCTCGCTCACCCCCACCCGCCCTGCCAACACATACGTAGCACCCGAGCCTGGCCCGAACCGCAGCATATGCAGCAGTCGTCTTTGGATGGCCAGCTACTGGGGGCCAATCCGCCGCCGCCGCCGCCGCCTCCGCCGCCGCCGCCGCCGCCAGCCGCCGCCGCTGGCGCCGCGCCGCTGCCGCCGCCGCTGCTGTCCGCCGCTGCCGCCACCGCCGCGCTGCCCGCCGCAGCCGCCGCCGCCGCCGCCCCCGCTGCCACATCGCCGCAGCCGCTGCCGCCGCAGTCGCTGCCGCCACCGCTGTCGCCGCCGCCGCCGCCACCGCCGCCGCCGCCGCCGCCACCGCCGCCGCCCCCGCCGCCCCCGCCGCCCCCGCCGCCGCCACCGCCGCAGCCGCCGCAGCCGCTGCCCCCGCCGCAGCCGCCGCCGCCGCCAAGTGTACTCTGTTTTGTTTTTGACAGGGATGGTGGGGGGAGGCCGCATCGGGTTCGCTGCGCATGCTCCGATGTTGAAGGCAGAGTGTGTGTTTGTACTGTTTTTTACAATGGATGGTGGGGACAGAGTGTGTGTTGTATGTTTTTTAACCATGGATGGTGGGGGGCCCTCATGGACCTGGGTTGGCTCCCGGTCGCCTGGGGGAGGGGGTGTATATTAATAGAGAACGTCAAGCCACCCACCCGCTTGCAAGCCGTCTAGCTCACTCCCACCCGCCGTCCCAGCACATGTGTCAGGCACCCTTGGGGCCCGAACGTGCCAGGCACGCTTGGTGCGCCAGATGCGCCACGTGCTCCGAGTGCGCCAGGTGTGCCGCACACTCCAGCCGCGCCAGGTGCGCCGCGTTCGGGGCACGTGCAGAGTGCGTCAGGTGCGCCTGCGCACGTGGCAACACACATCGGGAAACATGTCAGCCCCCGCCATCCTTGTCGAACGCCGATGCCCATCATTGTGTCTGGTGGGCCTGCGCACAGCAGGCCACGCACCACCACCCCCGCCGTCCCTGTCAAATGGCAGTGATCGCGGGATGGCCGCGCACGATCCAGATAAAGCCGCGAGGTGCATGTTGTATTTCACCATCATCAGGAGCACCATTCTACTCCTCCGCATGCTCCTCCTCGTCCTCCCTTGCCTTCTCGTGTCTTCCTCCTCCTCCTCCTCCTCAGCCTCCTCCCTCTCCCTCCCACCCTACATTCCTCCTCCGCCACATCCTCCACCCGCTCCCCCATCTGGGCCGCGATCACTCGTAAATCGCGCTGCGCCCGCGCTCCCAGGGCCGAGATCCTTTGTAAATCACGCCGCGTCCGCGCCCCCGGGGCCACGGTCAGTCCTAAATCCCACAAGCATTCTGGGCGTAGGTGGTCTGGGGCGGCTCCTCTTCCAACCCCTTTCTTCCCCTTCGGGGAGGGGTTTATCAGTGTTCCTTATATTCATATACATCCCCTCCCCCAGGCGACCCGGGGCCAATCCGAAGCCATGCCGACACCATGCCGACCCGCCCCCCACCATCCCTGTCAAAAAAACGCACTCTGCCTCCACATTTGGAGAATGCGCGGCCAACCCGATGCGCCCCCCCACACCGGTGTTGGTGGTTGTGGTGTTGGTGGTGGTGGTGATGGTGGTGGTGGCGTGGAGGCGGTGGTGAGGACGACGACGATTATGAAGATGATGACGGCGATGCTGCTGCTGTTGATGATGATGCTGATGTTGTTGATGATGATGATGATGATGATGGTGTTGCTGATGCTGATGATTACGATGATGCTGTTGATGATGTAAATCATGATGACGGCTCTGCTTGTGATGTTGATGATGTTGATTGATGTTGATGACGATGCAGCTATTGCTGATGATGCTGGTAGCGCTACTGCTGTTGATGATCCCGAGGATGCATATGATGGAGATGGTGATGCCGATGAGTGATGATGCTGTTGGTGGCGATGGTGATTGTGATGATGATGATGATGATGATGATGATGATGATGATGATGATGATGATGATGATGATGATGATGATGATGATGATGACTACTAGGCGGATGAGGAAGAGGACGAGGACTCCTAAGCGGAGGGGGTTAGGAATACAAGCACGGACAACATTCTAAGCATCCGTGATGCGGAGTCCGAGTATTTCATAGGAGGGAGAGGAGCAATCCAGAGCTGAGGAGGTGGATGAGGGGTTTGACGAGGATAACGGGGAGGATATGGAGGGGTAAGAAAGACAGGAATAACAAAGGGTAAACAGGAGGAGGATTCAGCGGACAAGCAGGAGGGTGGTGAGGGTGAAGGGGCGGGGCAGGAAAGGGGAATATCAAGTGAAGGTCTAGGATGATGAGGATGAGTGGGAGGAGGAGGAGGAGGAGGAGGAGGAGCAGGAGGAGGAGGCGGAGGAGGAGGAGGAGGAGGCGGAGGCGGAGGAGGAGGCGGAGGAGGAGGAGGCGGAGGAGGAAGAGGAGGAGGAGGAGGAGGAGGGGGAGGGGGAGGAGGAGCAGGAGCAGGAGCAGGAGCAGGAGCAGGAGCAGGAGGAAGAGGAGGAGGAAGAGGGGGAGGATGAGGAGGATGAGGAGGAGGAGGAGGACGAACCCACTAAGCCTGATGATGAAGGTGAGAGGTAATGACCCGCATGGGGAGGCTTGCGTTTCCCACCGAAATGGGGACAAAGGCAACCATGAGTGAAGATGTTGATTATGAGGATCAGGATAGCGACGAGGAGGAGGACCAGGTCGATGACGATTGGTAGCGTTCGTTCTTTGTGTGTATGTGTATATGTATGTATGTATGCATGCATGTATGCATGCATGCATGTCTGTCGGTCTGTCCGTCTGCCTGTCTGTCTGCCTGTCTGTCTGTATGCATGTCTGCATGCATGCATGCACGTATGTACGTATGTATGTATGTATGTATGTATGTATGCATGCATGTATGTATGTATGTATGTATGTATGTATGTATGTATGTAGGTATGTGTGCATGCATATGTATGCATGCATATATATGTATGTATGTATCTATGCATGTATGTATGTATGTGTGTATGTATGTATGTATGCATGTAATGTATGTATGTATGTATGTATGTATGTATGTATGTATGTATGTATGTATGTATGTATGTATGTATGTATGTATGTATGTATGTATGCATGTGCGTATGTATGTATGTAGGTATGTATGTATGTAGGTAGGTAGGTCGGTCGATAGGTAGGTGTGTATATGTGCATGCATGTATGCATGTATGCATGCATATATGTATGTATGTATGTATGTATGTATGTATGTATGTATGTATGTATGTACGTACGTACGTATGTATGTATGTATGTATGTATGTACGTACGTATGTATGTAGGTAGGTATGTATGTATTTATGCATGTATGCATGCATGCATGCATGCATGCATGTATGTATGTATACATGGATGGATGGATGGATGGATGTATATATACACATATATACAAGTGGCACGTGTGTGCCCAGGCTCATACAAAAACTGAAGGGGCGTTTGAAGCAGGAGTGACATGCAACATCGAAGTCGCACTCGAGCGTCAGTGGGGCTGCCACACCTTGCGATGTGTGTACCAGGACCCCCCAGGAAGCCTCAGGAGGCCCGACTTGGATACCAGAAGAGGCTCCAGGAGGCCCCAGGATTGTGAGTGTTGTGCGTGTGTGTGTGTGTGTGTGTGTGTGTGTGTGTGTGTGTGTGTGTGTGCGATGTATGCTTTGTGTGGTGCGTGCTTTTTGGTGTGTTGTAGGTGTTGTGTGTGTGTGTGTGTGTGTGTGTGTGTGTGTGTGTGTGTGTTATGTTTGTCTAGCGTGTGATGTGTTGGGCGTGATTTGTGTCTCTGTGTGCATGTAGTTCTGAAGCCCCAGGAGGCCCCAGGAAGCCCCAGGCGGCCTCAGGAGGCCCCAGGAGACCCCAGGAGGCTTCAGGAGGCCCCAAGAGGCTCCAGGAGGCCGCAGGAGGCCCCAGGAGGCCCCAGGAGGTTTCAGGAGACCCCCAGGAGGCTCCGAGGCGGGGTCTGGGGTGCCAGAAGGTTCAGAAAGCCCCAGGAGGCCCCAGGAGGTTCCAGGAGGCCCCCAGGAGGCTCCGAGGCGGGGTCTGGGGCTCGATGTTGGAATGATTTTTCAAGCGAAACCGCCATTCCCTGAGAATCGGGGTCACAATTATTGAAATTACCATGTGTTTTTGAAGGTTTTATGTTAAAATGTTGAAATTCCCATGTGTTTTTGGACCCTGACGTCACGATCTGCGTGAGGGGTGCCACCGATTTTCAGAATTTCGAGGATGTCCCGAGCGAAACGGCCAGAAAAATCGCGGACGCGTGCGCATTAATCGCCTCTGAGCTCTACTCCCTCGGAGAGGTGCGTATGAGAATATATATATATATATATATATATACATATATATATATATATATATATATATATACCCCTGGGCACGAGGCGGGGCAGCCCAGGAGGGGGCATCTGACAGCGCATGGCGGGATGAGGCCGCCAGGGGCGCGCCCAGAGGGGGCCTGGGGGGCCCTCGACAGCGCATGGGGGGACGGGGCCGCCAGGGACGCCCCAGACGGCCTAAGAGAGTTCCAAACCATGTGAAAACGGCCCCAAGGGGCCTCCAAGAGGGCCCCAGGTCGCCGACAGATCGTTCTAACACGCTCACGATGGCCTCCAGACGGCCCAAAAGGCTTCCAACACGGCCCAAGGGCATCCCAAAAGAGCCCCAACAGGAAATCACTGATTTTGCTTAAACTCGTGATGGATTTTCATCTTTCTGCCTTTCGCGCATCCCGACGCTCCAAGAAGGTCCTGGAGGTCCCAACTATCGCCCCAACACGGCCTCAGAGATCCCCGAGGAGGCACCGAGACGGCCCAAGAGGCACCCCAGGCGGCCCCTGAGGTCTTCAAGGCAGCCCAAGAGGGCCCCAATAACGCCCCAAGAGGGAACAGCAACAGCAGTAGCAACACCCTCTTCTCGGTCTCACCGTCTATATTTGTGCACGATGTGAACTGTAGAACATCCACTTATAAGTCGCGTGTCTGGCTGTGCATGATCTCCTTGTGCTTGCAACACTTTCCGCGAGCAGTACTGCCAGGGCCCAGAAGAGGTCGAGCGCATGGTCCTAGCCCGCGCCAGAGCGATCGCCGACCAATTTGTGCGCGCTCGTGCGGAGCTCTCAGTTGAAGGGGACATCTGATAAGCCACATCTCTTCTTCTGTGCGTCCTTTCGCCTCTGCGCTCAGACTGGCCAGTCAAAGCGACTGCACATCAAAGTGCAAGTTCTTTCAGCAAGCACAAAAAGGCTCCAAGATGGACCTAAGAGGGGGAACACGAACCGACACTTCGAGCTTCCCTCCCCTGGAGGCCCCCAAGAGCCTCCAAGCGGCTCCCAAGAGGCCCCCAGAGGCCCCAGGAAGTCCCCAAGAGGCCACCATGAAGCCCTAGGAGGCCCCCGCCCCCAAAAGCTCCCCCCCAGACGTCCTGAGACTCTCCTGCCGATCCTCGACGCCGTCCCATCACCGAGTGCCAGTTGCATCCCGTGTCCCGCTCGCCCGCTTCTTTCGCGCGTCGTTGTCGTCGTCAGTGGTGGGGCCACCTGGAGGGCGTGATGATCGTCTGGCGGTGGTGTCTTAGCGATTCGGTGGCTTTTTGGGGCTGTTTCGGAGGTCTCTTGTGGCGTCTTTGGGGCCTCTGAAACCGTCTTCGGCTGAGCTTGGGCTGTTGTGGAGCGCCAGCAGGCCCACAAGGCGGAACCCACCAGTCAAGGCAAGTCAAGTCAAGTCCTCTGCGTGTAACATGCAGCATGGGAAAACCAGCTGTCGTGGCAATAATCGTGCGCAATTGCTTTCCAAGCATTCTGTGACCTGTGGGCCACTGGTCACAGAAAGCTTGGAAAGCAATGCGCGACGGGAGCTGTCTGAAGCGCGTGCTCTGGGCGCGTTCGGCAATGTCGGCGCGGGGGCGTTCTTACGGCGCCCGCTGCATTTTCGCTCGGGTTCCGGACGATTTCGCGCGGGCTTCAGATCTTAAGCGCCCTGTTTGTCGGCCGCGAGAAATTGCCGAATTGTGCATGAGCATTATTGGTTCTCTTCCCAGCGCCTTAACGCCTCTGGCCAAGCAGCGCATTCAGATGACGGAGGTTGATCGACCTCCTACCCTAACACGTGGATTAGCGAATTGGCCGTTTTCGGTTCGCGAGAGGGCGTCGCGGCCGTCATTTTTGCGGGTCGAGGTCCGTCGGTTGCGGTCCTAGGCCGTTTTCATTAAAGGGTGGTTTGCTACAGGGAGGTTTGTCCACCGCCGAAGACTACTTGCGCCGCCAGCTGCTGCCCGCGCGTGCCCGAACACGGCTTTTTTCGCCCCGCTGACCCTGGGTCCACCTCGGCGTCGGGGGGGCCCGCCGGTTCCTCTCGGCCGAGAGAACAAACTACGGGAATCGAACATGCTTTGTCTTCGACGTCACCCCAACATACACATTGTTCATGTCTAATTATTCGAGAGTTCTTTGTTTTTTTGGGGGCCAAGATCCTTTCATGTCTAATTGTTCTCTCCTGGGCCTCTTCCTGGCCACTAGGGGGCCAGGAACAATTAGAAACGAGCAGAATTAGAAATGAGCACGATTAGAAATGAACGACGTGTATACTTTCTACAACGCCCCCCCAAGGGGCGACGCGCGCACCGAGAAATCTAATAGTATATGCGTCGTGGCGGGCGCTTTCTGGCCACGCCGCTCGGGAAATGAACTACTACAAGATGGGTATACTATAAGTGCGGGTCGGACGCGCGCCTCTAAGGCGGTCATGTAGTATTACTATGTCTCTGTGTCTCTGTGCGTCCCATGTCTCACTATACTTAAGTCGGGCGTGTCCCTCTCCAGGAGGGATGTTCAAAACTAGTGAAACAATAGTATGGCGACGATCTCTCTCTCTCTCTCTCTCGTTTTTTTTGGGGGCTAGTTTTGAGCATTTTTTAGGTATTCTTCATTAGTTCGTCCAACATCCGCCTGTAGGGGGACACGCCCGACCTAACACTTTATCGCTCTCACATCTCGACGAGCCGATGTCCCAATTCATGTGAGCTGCGTCTCCAAAAACATGCAGCTCATGGACTTAGCGTTGGCCTGCTGAAAGACCGAGGCGTTTGTGACGTGGCTGTAATACGAGCAGGGCATCTGCATGACTCTTCTCAAGCATCTGTTCTGGAACCCGTCGACTTACCGGGCCTCCGCTGCGGGCAGCCATGGCGAATGCAGGCTCTAGAGGAGCTTTCTGATGACTCACGCGTTCTCTATCTTTAAGTCGGGCGTGTCCCCCTACAGGGGGACCTTCGACGAAAAATAAGAAATATTCAACACATGCACCGAAATGGCAAAACAATATGCAAACAATAGTCCCCAGACTTTTGTTGTTGTTGTTGTTGTTGTTGCTGTTGTTGTTGTTTTTTGAGGTACTTCTTTTTTTTCGTCGAAAATTCCCCTGTAGGGGGACAGACCCGACATAACTCTATCTCCAACTTCCGGGCGCGCGGTATCCCAGCGTGAGACCACAGCCGCCGAAGTTGTTCAAATTCAGCTTGCGCGGCGCCGAGTCGACGATTGAGTTCTGAAGTTGCCGTTCCGTCCGCCGTGATCGTGCACCCCAATGACACCATTTGCCACTCAGGGTCAGTTGCGTCACCAGTCGGCGCACTGATGCTGGCGACCGTCGTGGAAGATACGAGTTCCAAGTGAAGCTTAGTCCGTACATGCTGCCCGCACGGCGCACTCAGTGCATGCGTTTCTCTACGTTGGCAGTGCTGGTGCCGATCAACAGAGCGTCATCCGCAGAAAGGAACGTGTCAGCCTGTGTCTTCGTAAACACCTGCGTCCCAGATGGTCCCAACAACGGTCTGGCGCCCGGCGATGAGCACAGTCGTGATCATGCCGCCGGCTTACGCCGTAGCTCTGATTTTGCATGCCTGACTGCCTGCCGCCGTCAGAGACTGAAAAACAACGCTTCGCGTGAATCCCCTGCCTGCGCTGCAGGAATTTGGCCGGCAGGCCGACTGGCCTCGGTGAGCGACACAGTGCACCCGGAGAACTCGGATCGAAGGCTTTGGTCCAGTCCAGCGCTGGGAGCACCGGCCGTCAGTCCTGAAGTGCCTTCGCCTCCTCGACGATCCTGCGGGCCAGAAAAAGCTGCGTCCAGGGTGCCGCGCCCAGGGCGGAGGCCAAATTGAGTGCTCCGGATGCGGTCGTCAGCCCCTCCTTTGATTGGCCGCTGCAGGAGAATGGACGCAAAAAGCTTATAGCGAATTTGTAAGAGCAACATGGGTCTGTAGTGCCCGCAGTCGGCTCCGTCGCCCTTCTTGAGGATCATAGCAACGCGCGCCTCATGCCACTTCTCGGAGACAGTTATTTGAGACCAGCACTTTTGGCAAAGTTCCAGAGCCCACTGGCATGCCTTACTTCCCCTCGTGCAGATGAGTTCCCAGACCTTTGGATTCAGGTCGTCGCTCCCGGCTGCCTTGCGGGCCTTGAGTTTCGACGCCGCTGTCACAACCTACTCTTCCGAGATGTCGCCCAAATCTACCTTCACATCCGGTCCCAGATGGGAATCGTCAAGAGCGGGCTCTAGAGGCTGAACTGCCCCTTGCACTTTCTCGAGGTACTCGGCCAGCGTCTCTGCCCGGTCTTCCGAACTGACGAACTTTGCCCTGCATGTCCTTCAAGCGCCCTTGTCTGCGATGAGTGCCTTTGCGTAGTTCTTTGACTTGGTCCCACGGCCATTTGTCCAGCAGAGACGTGAGCCAATCGTCACGGTCTCTCTTCGCATGCTGCCTCGCTTGCTCGTTCAGCGTCCGCTCGCGAACCAAATCTCCGTTACGTCTTTCATCGGAGTTGCAATCCGTGAGTCCTGGCGTGCGTCCACCGATCCGTGCTCGTCGAGGGGCGGCCTGCACGATCGGCAAAGTCTCCTGGGCAGCCGGGTGCATTCAGGAGGGGAAAAAACATACAGACACAATTCATCGTCGACTCCCAGAAAAATATGGGAAAATATGGGAAGTGGGGGGGGGAAGACGAAAATCCAGGACATATTGGGAAATATGGGGAATGTTGCTATTTGTGTGTAGTTATTTGTGTGTCCTTGGGCCCCTTCATGCATGCAAGTCGTAATCTGCGAATGGAGCCAGTCTGGCCCCTGAGTGTCGAAGTCACGATCTTCCACGTTCTCTTCCACCGCCCGCATCAAATATTCAAACCGTGAGCGCAATTCGGACGCTATCTCCTTGCCGCCCAACCTGCCCTTGTCTGGTCTCTGACATCGCGTCCGCTGCGCCTTCTTTGCCACTGCGATGTCAAACTCCGCAGTAACCAGGAAATGATGTGAAGGACACGCCAAATACCTGTGAGATCCCGCCGCGCGCACCACATATGGAGACGACCCTGCGGGACCAATACAACATCCATTTGCCCGAAACGCTTGTAATTGTGCGCGTCGTGTGGGTGCGGCCCCGCGTTGTAGCCAGTGACCAGACTTTCCGACGCCGCTGTGAAGAAGGTGTTCCCCGCGGCAGGCTTCGAGGCAGCGCGCAGCTCCAGCAACAGGGCGCCGGTCCCAGTGCTGGTGCTGTGCTGCGCCGCCGGGCTCCCGAACATTGGTGCTCGCCCGGGCTGCTGTTCTCCCCTAGCTGCCGGGCGTGAAGCCTCGCGCTGAGCTCCCTGAGTGCCAGCTTTGCACCGTTCCCGCTACAGTCGGCCCGGATTCGTAGGTCGACCCTGCCAGCTCAAGGGTACCCTTGTGTCCTGTGTCTCGCGACGCGTGCCTTCGTACACTCCTGCGGCGGTGTGGCCCTCGGAAGGGTTTTGTGTCCTCTCGCGTGTCCTGTCCAATCAAGGCCGGCCTGTGGCAGAAGACATGAAACTGGGCAGCTCGGCACAGAAGTTGGATCGCGCCGGGTGCGGCCGGCCGTTGTGCGGGGCACAGACAGTCAAGATCGGCACCTTGCCGCCAGGCGCCCTCAGCTTTGATGGCGCCATCCTCGAGCTTCTGTGACAGCAACCGATATAGCTGTGCCGCCGGTGCGGGGCAACCAAACATTCCATCCCAGCCGTTTCCACCACTTCTGTCTTTGACGACCCTGAGAGAATCAACAGGAATCCATCGTCTGTAGTAGATACTTCGGATATCGTCTTGTGTGTGTCTCTTGTAAGCATAGCAAATCGATTCCCACGTTTGCCATGTCTCGTTGAAGTATGGCAAGTTTATCATATTCCAGCCCCTCTGTGTTTCAAGTTCTAGCGACGGGGCAATCTGAAGTGTGTCGCAAAACACCGCCTCTGAATTAGCCTGGTGTGAGTACCGCAATTGTGATTCACTTTTTCGGTGGTGATCCCTATGAGGCAACGAACCGTGCTAGGGGTGTGCCGAAATGAATGGCGTGGTACACACCGCGAACGAAAACAAACAACACACTGCGGACTTCGCCACGGGGACCTTCGGGTGCTCCATATGGGGCCACGAAACGCTGTACTGAGTAAGGGAGACGCATGCGGACTGCGCCACGGGGACCTTCGGTGGAGTTCCCTATGGGGCCACGAAGCGTGTGAGGGGTGTGCCGAAGTGAGTGGCGGGGACGCATGCGTCATGTGCCACGGGGACCTTCGCCGGAGCTCCTATGGGGCCACGAAACGTGTGAGGGGTGTGCCGAAATGAGTGGCGGGGACGCATGCGAACTGTGCCACTGGGACCTTCGGCGGAGCTCCTATTGGGCCACGAAGCGTGTGAGGGGTGTGCCGACATGAGTAGCGGGGGCGCATGCGAACTGTGCCACTGGGACCTTCGGCGGGGCTCCTATGGGGCCACGAAACGTGTGAGGGGTGTGCCGAAATGCGTGGCGGGGGCGCATGCGGACTGCGCCACGGAGACCTTCGGTGGAGTTCCCTATGGGGCCACGGAGCGTGTGAGGGGTGTGCCGAAGTGAGTGGCGGGGACGCATGCGTCATGTGCCACGGGGACCTTCGCCGGAGCTCCTATGGGGCCACGAAACGTGTGAGGGGTGTGCCGACATGAGTAGCGGGGACGCATGCGAACTGTGCCACTGGGACCTTCGGCGGAGCTCCTATGCGGCCACGAAGCGTGTGAGGGGTGTGCCGAAATGAGTGGCGGGGGCGCATGCGAACTGTGCCACTGGGGAGGGGAGGAGGGAGGGGGAAGGAGGAGGAACGCGGGGACCGTCTCTTCAAAACGAGGACCCAACACCACAGGATGGTTTGGAAAAAAGTAGCGTCTAGTGTTGACTGTCATTCACTATGTGATGATTCCCGGGTAGCCGACCTCGGGGTGAAACATCATCTTCATATCTTCCCATGCGCCCAAGCCCCTAGCGGGCCTGGCCTTTAGCACGCTTGCACGCGCTCGCCGGGGTGCCCTTGGTATGGCCCCTCATGCCCTTGGAAGCATTCTGGACCAAAATGTTGCACTTCTCCACAAGGTCTTTGACCTCGGGACTCTTGTGCAACTCCTCCCACTCGGCCCACTCTCCGTCCCACTCCTGCACCACCTTGTCTGGAAAAATGTGTGCCGTCACCGCCGACTCCCCCCCGACCGTTACCGTGTAGGGCTCACCGTGACCGTGCAGGGGATGTTCCAATCGCTTTTGAATACGTGCTTCAGACCAAGTAAAAAAAACCTCGCAGCCCTTTACGAGATAAGACCGTCCTGGTTGGCCCAGATGTTTTTCTCCCCGACTTCAGTCCAGCTTTTCTCAAACTATCCATGACTGCATCCCGCCGAGCCGAATCCTGGAGCTCCGCGAACAACACTCCGCCGAAGTCCCCCTTCGAGTACGTGGGTCCCAGAGGGGGCTGGGCCCTGGAGCGAAGACAACTCGTCGTGCTGGCCACGTGCTGGCCGCGTCTCGCGAATCGAGCGGGTCGAGGTTGCCGACCACCTCTGTGATGCTGCGCTCGCCTATCGCCCCCCCGCCCCTGAATACTGTGACCAACCGCAGCCTTCTGGGGGCTTCGCTGCTCGCCTCGTCCGAGACCTGCCTCGCCAGGTTCCGCGGCTTCTCGACCTGCACCTCGGCCGCGCCGAGGTGCTTCTCCCAGGAGGGACAAGCATCTCACAGACGCAATCGATCGTCGGTCCCCCAGAAAATGTCGGAAACTATTAGAAGTGGGGGGGGAGCCCCAGAACCCAGAAGACATGGGAAATATGTGGAATCCTGCCACTCGTGTCTATTCCTTTGCGTGTCCCAGGGCCCCTTCGTTCTCGACGGAGCTGGGGCGGACGTCCACCGCATCTTTTTGTCGCTGGGCCGCCGCAGGGCGAGGCTCCCAGAGCCCTCCCCCAGAGCTCCCGTGTATCGCCTCCGACACGGGGGCCATGTCCTGGCGACGGAGACCCGCGGTCCCCTCCACGGTGAGCTGACCTTTCCCACGGTACCTATACCTCTACCCTTTCCTCGTTTTCCCTTTTTTGGGCCTCCTCGGAGGCCCTCGTCGCCACCGCTGGATTCGCCTCGAAATCCTGGTCAGAACGCACCCCGGGAGAGGTCCAGGGAGTAGCCATATCAGTACCGTTTTGGTTTCCCCATTTCCCCTCCCTGCATCATCCGAGGCCCCCTCGAAGCTCAGCTGTTCGACTGGTCCTGGGATCATTGCCTCCGCCTCATCCTCTCGGTCGTCCTCCGTCTTCAGGTGGCCTTCTTTCGGGGGCAGGGGTGTCCAAGGAGAATCTGCATCCAAGAACTTGGTGCGCGGCTTTCTCATGAAAGGGTTGTTCACCAGCTTGCCCACAGGTGTACCCGGCACTCGGGAGGATACCGCTGTGAGCGCGTCCGACTCCAGGCCCATCTGCGGCTGCGGGGAAGAAACCATGATATGTTTCTCTGGCATGTGAGAGACAGCAAGCGGGAAGAAGTGGGATTGTAGATTCAGCGGGGTGTGGAGAACAAGAAACACTTCTGGGCCCCTTTGCCAGCGCCTTGGACCACTTGGCGGCGCCAGAATCCAACAGAAACCACCAAACACCAACGGGAACCAATTCACTCTGTGTCCTCAGGCCCCTTCTTCCCTTGTTGGGGGGCGTCGTGGAACCCTGTTGGAGCGCCTGGGGGGCGTTCTGGGCCGGCGGGAAGCCTGCGTGGAGAACCTATCTGGAGGCGATCACGGGGCGTTCGACGGTGATTTCCTGGCGACTCCCAGGGCGAGTCGGGGCTCTCTGAGCGGGTGGGGCCCGGAGGCTCCCCCGATGCCTCCTCCTCCTCCTCCTCCTCCTCCTCCTCCTCCTCCTCCTCCTCCTCCCCCTCCTCCTCCTCCTCCTCCTCCCCCTCCTCCTCCTCCTCCTCCTCCTCCTCCTCCTCCTCCTCCTCCTCCTCCTCCTCCCAGTGACTCTGGCGAGTCTGGGCTCTCTGAGCGGGTAGGGCCTGGAGGCTCCCTCGATGCCTCCGGAACTTCCCCAGACGCTCCCCGAGAGGACGGCGGGAGGCTACAATCGGGCAGTTCCCGAGGGAAAACATACATTTTCAGCAACCACGCGCTTCAGGTCTCCACTGCGTCCACGACGGCGCCCGAGGCGCTCTGGGGAGGCCAAAGACGGCCCAAGAACAAGGCGGCCCAAGACGAGCCCCAGAGGGCTTCCCAGACTGCCTGGGCGTCCCTCCGGAAGAGGCCCGGAGCGTGCCCAGCGGGGTCCTGAGGCCGTCCAGAACGCCCAAGGGACGCCATTTCAACACCCCCACAGAGCGCTCCAAGAGGCCTGGAGGCTTCCAAGACGCATTCGGAGCCTCCCCTGACGCGCCTCGAGAAGACGTCGGGAGATCAAGATCGGGCAATTCCCTACAGAAGACCGACGGTTTTAGCAATCGCGCGTTCGGGCTCTCCACTGCGTCCACGATTGCGCACAAGGCGTTCCAGGGATCCCCAGGACGGCCTACAAAACTCCCAAGACTGCCCAAGACGACGCCGAACGGCCTCCCCAGACAGCGTGGGAGCCTCGACGGAGGAGGCCAAAAGCGTGCCAAGAGGAGCCCCGAGGCCGTCCAGACCATTCAAGGAACGTCCAAGACGCCCACAGACTGTTCAATGACGCCCCATGTGGACCTCAAGTAGGCCCTGCAGGCTCCCAAGAAGCCTCGGGAGCCTGCCTTGATGCTCCCGGAGAAAACCTCGGGAACCCCACATTGGGGAATTGCGGATGGGAAACACACAGTTTCAGCAACCACATGTTGGAGCTCACCACTGCGGCTACCCGACAGCGCATGGTGGGACTGGGCCGCCAGGGACGCCCCAAGACGGCCCAAGACAGCTCCCAAACAAATGAAAACGTCCCCACGAGGCCTCCAAGAGGCCTCCAAGAGGGCCCAGAGTCGTCGAAAGATCGCACCAGATGGCCCCCAGATGGCCCAAAATGCTTTACAACACGGCCCAAGGGCTCTGCAAGAGCACTCCCAAAAGAGCCCAACGATGTACAAAGCATTTATTTTCACTAGGTTTGTGATGGGCTTTCGCTGCACGGCCTCCGAGGCCCCCAGCAGGGCACCGAGACGGCCCCAGAAGCCCTCCAGACCGCCCGAGCGGCCCCCGAGGCAGCCCGAGAGGGCCCCAGGAACGCCTCAAGAAAGAGCCCGGAGGGGGAGGTCCCTGAGAGGCCCCCAGGAAGCCCCAGGCGGCTCCCAAGAGGCCCCCCAAAGCCCAATCGCCCGCTTCTTTCGCGCGTCGTCGTCGTCGTCGTCGTCGTCGTCGTCGTCGTCGTCGTCTTTGGGGTCTCTTGGGAAGTGTAGCGCCCTGGAAGGGGGCCTCTGAAACCGTGGGGCTCTTGTGAAGCGTCAGCACGCCGAAAAGGCGAAATCCAACGGAAACAACCAAAAACCAACGGGAAACCAATGAACTTTGTGTCCTCAGGCCCTCTTTTGGGGGGGCGTCGTGGAGGCCTCTTGGAGCGTCTGGGGGGCGTTCGGAGCGCCGTCGGGAAGCCTGCGTGGAGCGCCTCTTCGGAGCGTGGCGGGCCATCTGGAGGCGATCACGGGCGTTCGCAGGTGATGTTCCAGTGACTCCCTCCTCCTCCTCCTCCTCCTCCTCCTCCTCCCCCTCCTCCTCCTCCTCCTCCTCCTCCTCCTCCTCCTCCTCCCCCTCCTCCTCCTCCTCCTCCTCCTCCTCCTCCTCCTCCTCCTCCTCCTCCTCCCAGTGACTCTGGCGAGTCGGGGCTCTCTGAGCGGGTAGGGCCTGGAGGCTCCTCGATGCCTCCAGAACTTCCCCAGGCGCTCCCCGAGAAGATGTCGGGAGGCCAAAACTGTGCAATCCCCTAGAGACAGCACGTCTTTCGTAACCGCGCGCTTCAGGGGCTTCGGCGTGGTGCTCTGGAGAAGCCGGAAGCCGTGGCCTGTGCAAGTCGTCGGCCTTCGCGTTTTTACACGAGATGCAATTCGTTCACTGCGGTTTCAGCCGCTGTGATTGCATGGCGGACTGCATCCTCATGGCCCCTCGCCGCGGGTGGCATTCCTTCTTGGCTTCCTGTGAGGCCTGTGTGTGCCCCTGGGAACCCCGCCGGCCGCTGTTCGCCACTAGGAGGAGGAGGAGGAGGAGGAGGAGAAGGAGGAGGAGGAGAAGGAGGAGGAGGAGGAGGGGGAGGGGGAGGAGGAGGAGGAGGAGGAAAGTGACTCCGTAGCCTTTTTCTCGAGGGCGACCTTCCGGCGGGTGGTCGCCGAGGTCGCTTCGGCATTCTTTGCCTTCGCCAACCAGATCGGAGCTGCCGTGATTGGCAGCTGGGCCGCCCCGGGGACCGCGGTGGCCTGCCCTCCTTGCGCGTGCGAGCCACGGCTCACGTGCGCGCCGCGCCCAGAGCCTGCGCCTGCGGGCCCGCCCTGAGGTGATCTGCGAGTGCGGGGCGAGGCCCAACGAGTGCCCAGCGCCAGCCGGGCGGACCGGGCCGTGGGCATCGTTCACGGCGCCGCTGGGCAGCGGGTTCGCGGCCTTCGTGGCCTTCGCGGCCGTGCAGGCGTGTCCGAGAGGGTGCTGGTCCCCAGTCCCGCAGCCCAGCCTGGCGGCACTCTGGCGGCCGGTCTCGGCCCGCGGACGGGGTCGCGGGGCAGCCGCGCGTCGGCCTCCTCTGGCTGGGAGGCGCCAGCCGAGGGGGTGGAGGCTGCGGCGCCGGGCCCAGTGAACACCGCCGTGACGGACCGCGATGGCGGCAGCAGCGGGGCCGCTGGCCCTGGACACCTCGGAGCCGCAGGTGGCCATCGGCTACGAGGACGACCCGAATTTCAGGTGGCACGCCAGAATGCTCTGCGTGCGCCTCCAGGACGGGCGCTTGGTGGAGTTCCCGCCGGACCTGGACGTGGTGGTGGTGAACCTGTCGGACCACCTCGTGGCCCGCCCACCGCTGAGGCTCGTGGCCAGGGGCGCGAGGTCGAGGACAACGGGGACACTCTCTGAACGGACAGGACTTCGACGAGTGGCGCGAGCAGAAGAGGTTGGGCCCTGGGCGGGGCCCGCGGGTGCTGGCGGTGCAGCGCGGGGCCGGTCGGTCCCGCTAATTTCCTCTCCATGCGGGGCGGCCTCGCGCAGGTGACGTTCCTCGAGGCGAGGATGGCGCCTGCGGACTGGTCCTTCCCCGCCAGCGGTCCGCGGGGTGCTGCTGGCGGCGCGCGCTGCCAAGGAGAAGCTGGCTGGCTTCCGCGGCTTCTGGGTGCGGGCGTCGCGGGTCAACCCAGACTCGCCCGTGGCGCTGAAGCATCGGGGCCTTCTGGCGGTCCTCCACCACGCGCTGAGCTTCGACCGGCTGAACCTCGGACAGCTCTCGTCGGCGGAAATTGCGGGGCGCCAGATCTTGCATATCCACCAGGCCACGCAACGCAACCCGAAAAAACCCGAGTTCAGGGGCTCGGACTTGATGGTCATGTCGGCCTTGGACTCGTCTGGTGGAGCGCTGGCTGGCGAGTTCGCGTGCGTGGCCGCGGAGGAGCAGATGGTGGCAGCGTTCGCGATGAAGCAGCAGAGGCTCTTCCAGGAGGAAGAGGACAAGTGGAGGAGGTGCAAGGACAGGAAGGACAAGAACAGCACAGACTCGGAGAAGGGCTCGCAACCTCCAACAGCGAGGTTGTTCGATGCTCCCCCTCGACCGCGTCATCGTGGTCGGGCGGGCCTTCTCAGGTATCGCTTCGCTCTCGACTTGTGACGGAGAGGCGTCAGACATCTTGCCTGGCAGCGGCGCCAGCGGGCAAAAACCGAGGCGTTGATCGAGGGGGTCGTGGCGTCGCTCAACGCCAAGGCTCGCTGCTAGCCGGGAAAGATCCGTCGTGTGGAAGATCTTCGACGTGTTTGTGATGCTGACCTCTCGGTCGTGCCGCGGTGAGTTTCCCGGCGGGGCGTTGGCGGAGCTGGCGCAGTGTAAGTCGATCTACGACGTCGTCGAAAACAACGCAAGCCGACTACGACCTAGATGGGCTATCGGTCCTTAGACGGATGGCCGTGTCCCTGGGCGCCAGAGACGCGGTGGGCGATGAGCGCCGCCGGTATCTCGCGGGCCCTGACAACCTCATCGCGCGACCGGCGTCCGAGTTCTGCGACAGCGAGGCGCCCGTCAAGGCCCACTGGGGCACGTTGTTCGCGATGCCATACGCTGGTTGACGTAAGTTCGCGCGGCGGCTCGACAAGGTGGGGCCGGTGGCGTGGCGGCCCCGCGCCCGGGCTGAGCGCGGGGCTTTCGTCGTCAAGAAGAAGGAGGGCGCAATCAGGCTGGTGCTGGACTGCCGCCCGACGAGCCAGCTCCGCCGCAGGGCGCCCAACTCCCGCTTTGCGACGCCATGCGCGCGCGGAAACCCCGTGCTGGCCGACGAGTGGGGCGAGCTTTCAGCCGAGGCGCTGGGCTGCTCCGGGTCCGAGGGCGGCGACCTCGATGTCACTTGCGCGGGCGTGGACATCAAGGGCGAGTTCTACCAGTTCAGGGTCGACTCCGTCGCCAGATGGTTCTCGCTCGGGGAGTCGTTCGCTGCTGCCGAGGCTGGCGTCTCAGCGTCGAGACCAGCGGCGTGGTGGACGTGGCGTGGTGGACGTGGCGTCCGAGGACAGGCTATGAGTGTGCTTCGGCGGTCTGCCGATGGGTTGGATCTGGGCATTCTTCTTTCGCCACGGGGCGTCAGAGGCTGCTGCTCGGCGCGCCCTCGCGAAGCTCGGCCAGCCAGCAGCTGCACTGGCCGATTGGGGGCCGCTGCCGCCGCCGTTCTGCCGTCGTCGTTCCCAACGACGGCAACATCATCGCAGGGTCGCCGGCTGCCGCGTGTCGGGGCTACGACGCGTTTCTACGCCGAACTGGCGCGGCATGGTATCATCTTGCACGAGGAGCAAGAGCCGACCTTCAGGCTGCTTGGGCGGCAGATCCGCGGGCGGAGGCGCATGCTGCTGCCGCGGCCCCGGCCGGCCGGAGTTCGCCCTGCAGGAGCCGCGGCGCCGCCCGGCGCTGGCGCCGGCTCAGATGCGCCGTGCCGTGGGGCACCTCGCGCACCATTTTTCGGTTTGCCGCGAGTTGCTCTCGAGCCTCTGCCTGTTTAGGCCTCCTAGATGGGGTCGGAGTAGATGGGGTCGAAGGATCGCGCCGCATCGGCGATGCATCGGCGATGCGGCTCGATGCGGGGCCCAATGTTCTTCACGCCAACGTCGCCGATGCATCGCCGACGCCGCCAGCGCATCGCCGATGCATCGTCGATGCATCGCCGATGTATCTGCGATGCGGCGAGAACTTCCGACCCCATCTACTTCGACCCCATTTAGGAGGCTTCTAGCCTTGTCATCGGAGACGGGGCTGGTCCCGCCCGAAGGCTGCGCGCGGGCACGAGGGAGGCACTCCGCGTCATCCAAGTGCTGCTGCCGCTCGCCGTCGTGGAGCTCGGCCGCAGCGTCGCCGACGAAGCCTACTTCTCCGACGCCGCGGAGGACGGGTTCGCCGAGCACCGCGCCGCCGTCTCTTTCCGCCAGGCTTGGGGCGCCGCCGGTTTCAACGACAGGTGGCGGCTTCGAGAGCCGGAGTCGCCCGCGGGAGGCCCCGATCGGCGCGGCGATCTCAGGGGCGCCTTGGCTGGCGGAGCCAGGGCCGTGCTGGAGGCGGATGCCAGCCGCTTCTCCCGCGAGCACCTCGTCCGCGACGGCACCGGCGCGAGGACCCGCTTTTTGCAGTCGTGCCAACCGCTGGTGGAGGAGGTTGGCCGTGTGCCCACACTCGGTGCTGCCCGGGTTGACCCTGCGCGGTGGGTGGCCCCCCTCATCGGGGAGTGCCAGAAGCTCGACAAAATGCATAAGCTTGAGGCCCGAGCGCCCATCATGGGCCTGGAGGAGTTCAGCAAAGATCCTCGCCATCACTATTCTCTTCTTCTCTCTTTAGAGAGAGGGAGAGTAACAACCAGCAAAACGACGACGAGTGAGAGGGCGGGAAGGCGGCGGGAAGGGGAGAGGGTCGAGGGGGTGGGGCAGGCCGCGAGGGGGAGAGGAACAGGGAGGAGGTCTCTTGCCAAAGAGGGTCAAAGCATGCAAACTCTTGTGCGCAGGCCAAGGATGGTCAAATCATCGCCTGCACACGGTTTCAATTTTTTAGTGCGGGTGATGCCGTTTTTTGCGGGTAGTGATTCCGTGGTCTTGCCCGGATAGCCATTCTTAGAGCTTGTGACTTGTTTTGGCAGGGAAGAATCATTGGCTCGTCCGCCTCCTCCTGACCGCATGAAAGCAGAAACCCACGGCTCGGGCACTCGACCTGGCCTGGGGAGAGACCAGTTTGAGAGCTTTTCGGAGCTTGAGCGTTGTAAAGGAATGACGCAGCAGCGGCTGGGTTCATCGGTAAGGCTCGGCATCTCGGGAGCGGGCGGGCGCTTTGGAGCCAGGAGGTTGCATGCGAACAGTCACCAGTGAGAATTCCGACCGATCGCCAACATCTTCGGAATGATGGGGTCGGCTTTCTTGGCGAGCGGGCAGCTTCTGCCAGATTTGGAAGGGGTGCTGGAGGGATGTTGAGAATTTATTCGCGCAGATCGCTCCTGGGCCTGAGATGGAGGGGTGTAGGAGGCGGAGGGGGAAGAGGGAAGAGGAACGCGTGGGGGGGGGGAAGGAGGAGAAGGAGGACAACAGGGGGGGAGGAGGAGGAGGAGGAGGAGGATGAGGAGGAAGAGGAGGAGGAGGAGTGTAAACCCAAGAGTCATCAACGATGTTGGAATCAACCCTCCCTCCAAGCTCCCTCTTCGCAGGCCCCTACATTTCCATTGAGGGAGCTGCCTCGTTGGAACAAAAAAGCGTTTGAAGATCCTGAAGCATGCCATAGCATTTTCTCGGGATTTCAACGCCACGGGTCAACCTGACTGCTGCGTCTTGACGATCTGGAATCGTGCCTGAACGCCATGTTTGGGACTTCAACACCGCAAATCATCATAACTGCTGCACCCGCGTAATCCTGAAGCTGTCCAAGACACCATTCCTGGTACGTTGACCACGTGAATCCGTGAAACTCTTGCAAATGTTTAAAACGACTGTGCGCGGCGCTAAGGCGAGAGCCACATTTTGAAAAGGAACCGCCTTCAGTCCGTGAAGCTCTTG